ATTGTCATAGAATAACTAAATAGTTGGGTGTTGTTTGTGTAAATACCAAGAGGATTTAGGGCTTGTCTTAGTGCAGCCCAAAGTTGTGAAAGTAAAAATTGAATGCAGTATTTGTACGCTTCATCTCCAGAATGTGTCCCTACCCTTTAATCATTGCTTAACCTAACCTCAGATGTCTTCAGTTGTAGGGGCCTTGCTCCGGGGTGCTTTCCTCCCCTCTCAGAATAGGCTTTCTCTCCAGAAGTCTTAACAAGCACTTTAACACAGCTTCCTAATGTCTACCAGACGTAGTCCTCAGACTTGGGGATTTTACAGACCAATAAAATAATGTAAAAAAAAAAAAAAGTTGTTAATTTGTATAGGATTGCCAACTAAAACAACTGTTGTCTATCACTATCTTTTATTTTTTAAAATGGACATTTTGACCCCCAGAAGTAGGAGAAAAGACCTGGCAATCTGCTCCCATAAGGATTACAGCCTAGAAAACCCTATGGGGCAGTTCTCTGTTCTATAGGGTCACCATGAGTCAGAATCGACTTGACAGCACACAACAACAGTTTTAAGCTAGAATGAATCTGTAGAGCAGTCATCAACTTGGATTGAGAATGTTCTGTGTAAATTAGAGATGATTATATATATATATGATTTTATATATGTACATATCAAACGAGTAAGAGAGCATTATGTAATATTTCCCCACTGATTTTCTAGAGTAACTTTGCTCTGACCGTACAATCTAGTTCTTAATTATATGCTGATGTGAGAGTTTTCTCTGCTTTTGACTGTAAGTACATCTGTCTTTCCTAACTGGAGTCTAAATTCCTTGAGTAATCACTAGGTAAGCACCATATCTTCTCTTGCCCTTTATCTCTTATGTACAAAGCACACAGTGGCCTGGATAAATTCATGTTGGGTCACAGCAGGATAAATTTTTCTTAGGTTACACTTAAACAGCATTCCTTGGAAATGTACAATGTAAGATTTTTAATATTTTTTTTTTCTTAAATAGGTAAACCTCCTTCAGATGTTAGCATTATTCATTTTTTGTAACCCTGTTTTTCATGGCTATCATGAATAAGAACTTCAGCTCAACTGTTAGCCAAATGATCCAGAATGCTAGATTAGCAAATTATAAACTGATGAGGTCGTGCTCCAGTGTCTCCGCACTGGACAGTTTCTCATAGCTTCTGGAAGATGGGTTGCTCTTAGGTCTGTGTATAGGTGAGTGGAAGAATATACGGACACACTTCTCAGCCCTTTCTTCTTCCCTCCCCTCGAAAAGCACACTTACCTTCAAGGTATCTACAGAGTCCTCATGGGTTGCTATCTGGGGTTCTTCAAGAATTATACAGCAACCAATCATGTTTTATAGATTAATAAACTTAGATCTTTGGTTTATTTTATTCCAAAAAATGAAAAATATTTCAATCATATTTTATCTGGTGTGTAGCTAAAATTCTTAAGTGTATAATTTTAGATTTACTAAAACTATCTTGAACTTAGATTCATATTTTAGCCATTTAAAGTTACTGTTGTTTTTTAAAAACATAGTTACAGGTGATATTTGGAGACACTAACCAGTTTTGAGTTAAGATTCCCCACATAATGTTTGCACTACAGTTTTAGAATGAGCAGAGGTTAGAAGACTCGTATTTGAATCCTGGTTGTGTCATTGTAAACTGTACTATCTTAGGCAAGTTACTGAAGTTCTCTGAGCTTCTGTTTCCTTATCTTTAAAATGGGCATAATAATATGTACTACATAGGCATGTGAGGATTAAATAAGGTAATGTTATATATGAAAACATTCTGAATTATGAAGTAGGATATAAGCATAAGGTATTATATGCCTTTTAGCAGTATAAAGATAGTCCATCTCTCAGATCCGTTAAAGGTTAGTTTGTTTTTTGTGTTTTTTCTCTCATGGATGCTGAAATTCCTTAAAACTAGTGAAAAGAGTCTCATTTATTAGGCTAACTTTTGATGGTAGCCAAAGTCACAGCACCATAAGGTTCAGTTAGGACTTGCCATTAGAAATACAGTGTGAATAAGGCTCAAACATGTTTGAGCAGAGTAACCCATTAACATGTATAAAATAACATTATATAATGAAGGGCCCGTAGGTGATGCTTTTAGATCCTTATGTATTTTTACATGTTCACATTCTGATTTACAGAAGGAGTCTGTACTTGGTTGGTAATATAAATAACTGATACTGTTTTCTTTTTAGTTTGGAAAGGCTTTGATTATCCTGATTTTTAGGTTGAAAAGATTTTACAATTCTAATATATTGGGAGATGGCTACAGTGTCTATTCAGAAGAACTAAGAACTGGGATACAGGATACTTGGGTTAATCTGTGAGTCTATTCACTCTATTCACATTTAGATAACACAGGATTAACGGTAGGTAAACTGGTCACGTCACCCTTAATTTTTGAATGAGATGAGCATTGATTTAGTGACTTCTGGTTCTTTTAAATGTTCCTGATTCCCAAGATAACCAAAGATGTCTCCAGAGGAATGCTGACAGTTTTATCAAGCACTGCCCTGAAGCCTCTGACCCCAAGCCTGGCCTACCGGGTACATGGGAGCACTCTAAGGGAAAAGCAAATAATTACCACCCTTCTGTCTTGAAATGAAATGTACATAATAGATTGAAAAATAGTGAGTTTTCTTCTTTCCCAGGATCTGACTTAGACATTAAGATCACTAGGTAACACCGAGGAGCGATAAAATGGCCAAAGAAGGTGCACTCATATGAATACAATCATAAGTCTTGCACCTCGTCCACCATACCCAAAGAAAATTGCTTTTCTGAAGTTTCTTACCTGTTGCCATTGAGTCGAGCCCTACTCATAGGGACCCTGTAGGACAGAGCAGAACTGCCCCATAGGGTTTCCAAGGCTGTAAATCTTCACACAAGCAGACTGCCACATCTTCCTTCCCCAGAACGGCTGGTGGGTTCAAACAACCAACCTCGTAGTTAGCAGCTGAGCACTTAACCACTGCACTACCACAGCTCCCATTTAAGTTCCTTACATGCACCCAAATGATATGTGCCTTAGCCAGACTACCTGGGTTCTAATCCTGGCTCCCTCACTTACTCTCTCTAAGACCTTGGGCAAGTAAATTATCTTCTGCCTGTCTCAGTTTCCTCACCTGCAAAGTGAGGATGGCAACAGTAGCACCTATCTCATAGGTTTGTTTTGAGGATTCAATCAGTTAATAAACGTAGAGTACCAGGCAGAGCTATATCATAGTATTTACTGTGTAAGTATTAGCTATTATTACTATAGCTAGTTATTATTTTTCTAAAATAATTATCTTTCTAAAGATTATTATTATTATCTTTCTAAAAATTGATCTGTGGATCTATTAGTGAGTCATTGAATGTGACCTATTTCTTGGGTAAAAAATCAAATTTTCCTGGCTCCAGTAATTTCAAATTTCATTTAGTAAAAACTCCCAAAGCATATTTTTTGAGACATTCAACCTGTGCCTGTAAAATTCATTAAATCCTCCGAAGTGATCCACATCTGCTGTTAGCATAAAAGAAATTGTGCAATGAGGATGGAATGGAAAAGTATTTTTCATTTAGGCCCAGCAGCCACACTGATTCATGGCAATCTGATTCGTGTTCTTGAGCAACTTACTGCAAATTATAAAAATTTCAGATGTTAGTCACTTAAGTAGAAAATAACTTGACAAATTTTTCCAGGAGTAAATGCAGCATATTCTGTGCAGCCAATGAGTAAAAGGGGGAGAAAGAGATTTAGTAAATATTGTGCAATTTAAGACCATAAATACATTTCTAGTCCCCTTTTCCATGGGAAAGCCATTTTTGTCAATAAGTGATATAGGGTAAA